ATGAATCGCAAACCACCAAACGGGTTTGATAGAGCAATCACTGGCCACATAGATCCTTCTAACGACATATTATCATGCAGAATTGTCATTCCTTCTTGTAAACATAAAACTAAAGACATCAACAAAAAATAGAGCAACATAAACAAACTTAACGTGAAAGTAAGACCATAAAAATAAAACAAATGACAAATACTCCAAGCTCCTTCCTGACTGTATTCTTGAAGTATCATCTTTCAAACCCTATCACCTCGGTCGCTCTAGGGCGGCGGTTCAGGAGGGAGGCGGTCTGCCAATCTATCTTCTCCCTTACTCAGATTTCGATTTAGAAATTGCCGGGCAATTTTCCAATCGAAAGTATAATCACGGACCTCCAGATTCGATCCACAGCAACACATCCAGATACATCAACCACAGAGAAGCAGATCATGGATAGGCAAAACATTATAACAACTGCCCGCCCACTTATGCTCCAAACCATTCACATTACAAGAAACGACTTAAGTCGTCTGCCGGAAAGATAAACCCTAGACAAAAAGCTAGGGAGAACGCCACTTTTACATTGGTATCGTTGCCGCCTCCACTGCAATAGTGCAACTAGGGCCGGCCCAGGCCATGTGCAGCCAGTTCTGTGGCACAGGGCCCAAGAAAATTGAAGGCCCAAAAATTAATTATATTAGTACCGTTTATAGCTTACTGCCGCCATTCTTCTACCCTTTTACTCGCATGCGGAAGTTCCAAACAACCAAATTAAAGAGCCGGCCATGGGCCTGCTATAACGTATGAGATTATTTTATTGTTAATTTTGTGATTGAGTTCAATAATTGACATTATTAGGTTATTTGGTTGTTAAATTTGTAATTGTTTCACTATCATATATTTCTTTTGTTCCTTTTTATTTAGTCAAACACTATTTTCCAAATCAATGATGTTAAACTTTGACTGATTATATATTTTTACATGAGAATATTGATCATATGAAAATGTAATGATATGATGGTAAAAATATTATCATAGAAGTATAAATTTATTAAATTTCACATAAATATATTAGCTCATGTAATGGATCAAAGTTTATCATCATTGCTAGGAAAAGTCAAAAATAGCTAAATAAACAGGGACAAAAGTAGTATTAAGTAAATGCAGTTTGTACTTGTCATAGAAAAGAAAGGCCTAATTTTTGTTCTTGCACAGGGTCCTCATTTTCCTAGGACCGGCCCTGAGTGCAACCCCAATTCCAACAACGATGATGCAAGGTGTCGCTTGACTCCTGGTTCGCCGTAAACCAAAAGAGAGAGAACAAAACTAAAAAGTATCCGCTCCAATCCCATGCTGAAGTACAGGGGTGGCGGCGCAGCCACACCTTTACTTCGTATTAGGTAGAAGCTCTTAGATTTTGAAATGTAAAAAGATCAAAGTGGTTTTATGTTTTTCTTTTATGTAGTGTTTTTCATTAATTTATTTAACTAATTTCATATTTGAATTTTAAACTAAAATTTAGTGGACAACATCTCGTGAAAAATATGCTTACAAAATTCATCGAAAAATGCTACTCGAAATAACCTCAAGATTCATGGTCGGGCGAAATTTCAGTCAGAAAATTCGTGACTTATTTAGAAAATTACTCACTAGTATTACTCACTAGTAGCCTCCGTCCCTGGGACTTGGGGGTGGCTACTAAAGTAATTGCCTTTCACAAAATTTAAACACAACAAAATTTTAACCCAACGGTATCTTTGGAGGGATAGTATTAAACAATCCATCCTCCTTAAACAACTACACTACACTTTAATAAAGTAAATAGTACTGCTACAATACCTAAAAACTCTTATTTTGCAAAAAGTATATTGTATTTGAAATGAATGTCACATGCACATTGTGTTGTATACTCTTAGTTCGAAAGGCATTCAAAGTTCAAACTAAACATTTTGTAGTTCGAGAGTGAATGCCCTTTTTTTAAACACACTTTCTACAATGTATCTGAAATGAATGTCACATACACATTGTGTAGTATACTCTAATTTGTCAGTGAAATTTCATGCGTACTTGATGAAAAGAACAAGAAAATCATCGAGCTTTTCCACAACTTGTTTAAATTTTCAACTATATATATATCAATGAAGTATGATAGTAATATGCAGAAGAAAAGGGCAAGGAGATGAAGTAAGCTTCCCAGCCCCTCAAGACACTAGCACTAGCAACGCGATTGACTCCGAGAGTGAATGCACCCATGACCCATCTTAAGGTTGCAGTCATGTGACTGGCACATGCTCCTTATGTTCTGAATGGCTTTGACATGTACTTCTAACTCCTTAGGGAGTGTTTGCGATTGCTTCTACTTTAACAAAGTGATTTTAGGGACGGAGGGAGTACAAATTATTGTTTTCCAAAATTAGAAGTCAATGATATGACGAGACATCTAAAGACCCGTGATAGCCAAGAAAAATACATGGACTCCCCCTTTCTTCAAATTTGTTTTTTCGTTTGTTATTGTGTGCATATACTAAACATCCAAAGACCTGTGAATCAATGGCAGACATGGTCTATCAATGGCAGAATGATGAGGGTGACAAAATGGTCACCAGACTTCCCGCCAAATGTTGAGTCTCCTATCGTCCCTGTTTGGTTGGATTTTGAAGGGTTACGGATTCATCTACATGACAAGAAGCGTGTGCTGTTTGATATTGCCAATCTAATTGGTTCTCCGATTAAGATAGACTCGACTACTTGTATGTTCACAACCATTTATGGCTCGCATCTGTGTAGATTTGGATTTAACAAAGGATATGCCACAGAAGATGTGGATCGACGGTGACTCGTATGGTTGTTCCGAAAAGGGTTACTATGAAAATACACCTTTCTATTGCTCTCATTGCCTACACATAGGGCATACACAGAAAACTGTCCTAAGTAGCAGCTTGAGGCACATTTCGAGGTTAAAGAAAAATGGACAGTTAAACGTAGTTAAAAATACCATAAATCTCACCTTTCACAAAGATAATATTTTGCAAAGATAAGAAAATAACTTGGAATAGCAGGTCATCAACCGGTCAGGGACCAGTGAATGAAGATGAGGTGCAAAGGTTGGATTATTCACGAATAATCAAAAGGTGGGACTATTGTTAGTTTCCATTTTCCCTAGAAAATATTTTGATCCTTCATATTAATAAACTAAAATAGCATCATAAAGTTATTGAAAGAGCGAGTAATTAATTAATATATTAAGAGTGATAGTACACATATGAATTATATAAAATAATTACTTCTTAAAATTGGTAAAAAGATCTACATATCTTATACATTGATTATGTATTCGTTAGATGGTAAACGATATATTCATATTAGTATATGATATATGGATGGAGACTTATAACAAAAAAATAAATGATTGAAAACCTATATGGTTAATACTAATTAATAATTATTATTATATTAATATAAAAGGTAGTGAATATGACCAAAATAAAGATGGTTTATAAAAATATGACTAGTTACTACAGTATTAATGAAATCATAGTAATTCATGTTCAAGTTTTCAACTTAAGTTACTACAACACCACGTTCTAGTAATGAATAGTAATATTTATGTAAATAAGTTTTATTGTAGTAATATTCTTGTAAAAAACCCAATACAAAAAAGTATGGCAGGAAATAAATAAGCACATGGGCCGGGCCGTTGCTCCACGAGTTATTTCCCGAGTAGGGGTACTTTCTAAACTTATTTCCCAAAATAGGGTATTTCTAAACTTATTTTCTGAATAGGGGTACTTTTTCCTTGTCAGCGTGCCACGTCATCATTCATGTCAAACCCGCCACATCCACAAGTCCATGTAATCCTATGTATCACTTAGGAATAACAAAAAGTGGAGGCCAAGGGGATTCGAACCCATAATCACTCATTGAAATTGCTAGCTCTCCACCACCAGACCACACTAATTTCTTGTCCAAATCTTGTATTTACATATACTTCTATTCATATTTTTTCAGACTTGTTGAATTATTATAATATTGTTATTATAATTGGAGATACTATAATTATTACAGTTGTTATCATTACTATTATTATTTTAGTTACTATTACTATTATTATTTTAGTTACTATTATTATTATTATTTCACTATTATTATTATTATTTTTATTATTATTATTTTGTTACTACTGTTGTTATTGTTATTATTGTTATTATTATTATTATTATTATTATTATTATTACTCCATCCGTATTTAAAAGTTCCCAGACTTTCCTTTTTGACTGTTTTTGAAAGTTTCATACACTTCGTAAGTTTTTCCATTATAAAATATTCAACTATCTTAATTTATCTATTTTTTATCTTCTCTTTCATATTTTTACACTCTCTCTCCATATTCAACTATCTTATTATAATCATTATTGTTGTTGTTGTTATTATTATTATTATCATTAGTAACAACAAGAATTGAAATAGTAACAATAATAATAATAATATTATTAATAATAATAATAATAACAATAATAATAATAATAATAATTGTAATAATAATCATAATAAAAATCATAATAGTCACAACAAAAATTATAGTAATAACAACAACAGTAATAAAAATTATAGTATCTACAATAATAATAATAATAATAATAATGATGATGATAATAATAATAATAATAATAATAATAGAAATAATTATAATAATTAAACAAGCCCAGCTTAATATGAATACAACTATGTCCAAATACGTTACTGTAACAAGTGGCTCTGATGGTCTAGTGGTTTATTCAAAATTTCAATTGCATGTGTGTTGGTTCGAATCCCCTTGGCCTCAGTTTTTTTTGTTATTTTTAAATGATACATTGGATGACATGGACCTTTGATGTGACAGGTAAATGATGTAGAAGTGGCATTTGACTTGAATGATGACATGGCACGCTGACAAGGAAAAAGTACCCCTATTCGGGAAATAAGTTTAGAAGTACCCTATTTTGGGAAATAACTCGTTGCTCCACTTTTCTTAATCCTAACGAAGAGGCGTAGGTTGTCGTTAATAGGTGTTTGTAGGGATCAGGATCCTCTGCCATAAGGCAGAGTGCCTTGCGGCATCCGACGGTAGGGAGGCGACGAGGATGTCCTTGAGATCGGCGAAGGGGTGGATCCCAACATCTTCAGCCGTCCAATTCCCGATCGAACGGCCCGGAAGAACGAGGCACCCTGTCTTGCTTTAAAGCAAGGCAGAGGCTCCGGATCCTGTTTGTAGATATGTCCTGGGTTTGTTTTGTTTCATCTTAGGTTTCGCGCGGTGAGTAGAGCATCATCATCATGTCTGGCGTGCCATTCGCAGATTGTGAGTGCGCCCTGGAATTGGAGACAGATGTAGTGGACGATCCTCGATCTATGGTCAGGATTTGTGTGACCCGGGATTCTGGCTATGTTAAGACATGGTGGCGCTCTGTCAAACGCGGCCACGAAGAACTTCTGTACAGGATCGAGGAATACGCTGACATGAGGGATGCAGGTCTGGCGAATATTGACCTGGAGAAGATGCTTGGCGGAGGATCAGAAGAGGAGGAAGAAGAACTCGCCCATTTAATTACTGATAAAGTTCTTTCTCCGGCCCTAGAGCCAGCTGTGTGCAGAGATCAACTCAAATTCCTCGTAGTGGATACCATCATTCCTCGAGCTCGTAAATTGCTCAGTGCTGAACTGCTTCTCATCAACCACACTAATAAATGCTCAAGATTATTCTTGATTTCCATATCCGTGATTGTAAACTTGGACACAATTTTATTGGGGGGCGATTTGTGCAAGATATTGAAACAAGCTGAGCAGCTGCAGGATAAATACAACCCGTCGTCTCAAATGCCTCTGCCCATTATAGTGCCCCATGGCTATAAGTACCTAGATTATGGCGAAGAAGCAGACAGATGCTCAATTTGTTTGGAGCACTTTGAGGTGCCCTCCAAGTTGTTGTTGATTCGCCTCCAATGCCTGGAAGAGATTCTTTACAACCCGGAGCATTACCAGGAGAGGCCAGGGGCTGCATTGCTGTTGCCATGTAAGCACATATTCCACCCAAGTTGCATCTTGAACTGGATATTGAAAAAAAGAACACCCCCTGTTGCTTCCTGCCCACAATGCAGGTTTCTCATCCCTCCCTTCACTCGCATGCTTTCAATTCTGCACATGTTTCCTCTTAAAGTGACACCGGGTATGGAGATGGAGTTGGATGTTGATTAGGGGCAACTTCATGTATGTGTGTATGTATGTACTAGCCGTGTACGTGCGACTTGTGCCCAATGCACTATTATGAGTTTAGTACATGTGTTTAAGCCTTCAAGGATGGTTAATAGAAGAGTGGGGAATTAATTAGAATCTGATTCCTGTGAGAACCAAGTTGCTAATTTGTTAGATTATATTCTGTTTTCATCACTGATAGTTTCCTATTACCATTGATATGTAAAAATAAATGAAGTTGCATCTACTTTAAACAATTTATTTCTTTTTGCTGCTTGTTGGTGTCTTCATGGATATTTGAATTGGTATGTATAGGAGAATTCAAAAAGAAGTGGTAAAGTATGTGCAAGCAGAATAAAGATCATGTTAACAAGAAGGTTTAATTTAAAGCAAAAAAAAACAAAGTAAACAAAGTAGCATTTGGTTTTGATGAATGATTTTTAGATCTCAATTCATTACAAACCATGGGTGTTGAATGAAGTTTTTGTATGAATTTTGCATGAACACCTATACACTTGTATCGCTAATTTTATACCCTATTTCTAAATCATTTCAACAACTTTTGGAGAGAATCAATTTCTTAGGTGAATGAGCTTTAAAGAAGAGTATTTGGAAGAGAGAGCTCTGGCAATTTGTGAATGACAATTATCTCGTCTCCCTTGGCGGCCAAGCCGCTGCCGGATGGTAACGTGTGGTCTGGCAAATCATATGCAGATGTGGTGGCGAATTGAAATTAAACGCCGCTGGCTCCTAAGGCCCCTACGAGATTTAAGGGTATGCTAGCTATCGGTTTCCCAGAAAGTGGCACCCAGATATTAGCTAATGCCATAAACGTTCCCTACTTCCCTAGTTGGATATTTCTTCCGTGGTAGGCTTGCTATGAAAGTGATCCGAAAATCTTTTGAAATAATTGGAATTAAGGGCACTTTCCTGTTAGGTTTATTGGAAAAAAATCATATTTTGATTGGATTTGAGATGGGGGAGGACTATTTGTGTTGTTGGAACAGGCAGACATGGTTGATCAATGGCAGAATGATGAGGGGTGACAAAATGGTCACCAGACTTCCGGCCAAATGTCGAGTCTCCTATCATCCCTGTTTGGTTGGCTTTTGAAGGATTACCGATTCATTTACATGACAAGCGTGTGTTGTTTGATATTGCCATTCTAATTGGTTCTCCGATTAAGATAGACTCGACTACCTCTATGTTATGACTTATGACAACCATCTATTGCTCACATCTGTGTAGATTTGGATTTAACAAAAGGATATGCCATAGAAGATGTGGATCAACGGTGACTCCTATGGTATTTCCGAACAGGGTTACTATGAAAATATACCTTTCTATTGCTCTCATTGCCTACACGTAGGGCATACAGAGAAAAACTGTCCTAAGCAGCAGCTTGAGGCACATTCTGAGCTTAAAGGAAAATGGACAGTTAAAACTAATGATCCAGGTAATCAGATGCAGAAAAATACTTTTAAGCAAAAGGGAAAGGAGAAAATGCATTGGGCAATCGAGAATATCCCCTCTACATCCAAGGCAATAGAGGATATTCCCTCTAAGTCCAAGACCCCGGCTGCTATGGTAATTGCTGATAAGAATACTGAGGAGATTTACATGCCTGAACCATCAATAACAAAGGACACACAAATAAGCAAGCAGCAGATCAATTTTTTTGCTCCAAATTGAGATTCCAGGCCTGCAACAGACCAAGCCAGAGGATATTTCATCAAACAGGGATGATAGTCATCTCTAGGTCCTCAATTTCTTAAGCATGTGTGTCCTTTGTTAACTTCTTGGAGACACGGATTCCTATAATATTTTAAGGGATTGAGAAAATCTAAAAACATTATATCTAAAAACATTATAATTGTGAATATAGGTTAATATCCTTGATTTATGTCAATGCTTTTTATGCCCACAAGCTTGTACGTTCTTGTTAAAATATAGTACTAATTTTTCTTAAGGACTAAAATAACCTTAACACCGTTAAAATCTTAACTTTGCACATACGTTAGCGCATTATTATTATAGCCATTATGACCACCTCAAACAATACGTTACTATCATCATTAATTTAGAAAATTTATAAATTAGATAATTTAGAAAATTTACTATCATTTTTTTTTATTAGAAATTTGTAATGGCTCAAAGAGTTTTGAATATTTGAGTAGAATAAGTAGTGTCACTCTTAATAAATCTTGTTAAATTGATATCTTTTCACAGTGTTTCCGCCCCCTATTTTCATATAATTTTATTATCGCCGTTTACTCAATTAATATTATGAAGTTCCGGTTGAAGTGGTTGAATCGATTGATATGCAGAAATCTATGAAGTTTTGGCTGAAGTGACTAGAATGGTTGATTCTACTGAATTATACTTCATATATAAATATATTTTATATATTTTAATATTAGCAAAATCAATCAGAAAAGTAACGCAAAAAGTAACACATACCTTACTTATTTTAATTATTACACAATTCATTGTGTGAAATTAAAGGTTATGTGTTTCGTGGAAAGTTGGCTATAAGGCTAATAAGACGAAAATCATAATCACCAAACGAGCTCTTAAAATTTTATAACATACAAGGGTTATGGGTATCCTTGAAGAGATTAAAATAAATGCATAATGTTCACCACAAGTAATACAAGGCTAGATAACATGAGTAAATTATGCAAATTGATTATAAGTTACCAAAGTGACAAAAGTTGGTATTGAGATGGGTTACCTTGCTCAACTTAGCCATTAAGCACAATGAGCAAACCACAATAAACGACTGCATATATGTATAACTAAGTTGTCCCAATGTCATGTTCACTGCATATATGTATATATCTTTGTATGTTCTTATGGATGTGTAAGTTCAAGTAGCTCTATTTAATTCAAGGCTCAAAAGCTAATCAGCCTATAAATTGTATCCAGAGCCTTAAAACCTATCGTCATTTAAACTTATTTCACACTCTCATTTCCATTTAAAGTAACAAATATGTGGCTAAAATTATTTATCTCTTCACTAAACAAATTTTAATTACAAAGTTGTTACTTAACCAAGTTTTTGTGGGATGAAATGATATGTTAAAACAGAAAAGAATACAACTGAATCGCATAATTGCATACTTTAAAGTCATATAGACATATTTTCCACACAGTAAATAGTTGACATGGAATATAATTGATCAAACAATTTTTAAAATACTTAGGATATCTCAATAACTATTTACAAAACATTCATAATAATTGTGCATGTAATAGTTCTTTATGAAAAAAATTACTTTAATATTGAGCAATCACTCTCGCGCTTTGCGCGAGTAAGCGCTAGTACAATAAGAAATAGCAATAGAGAAAGGAAGTGGATTTAAGGCTCACATACTTTATCTATCTAACCAAGCATGTTTTTTGTTTAAGCTTAAATAACACTGTAAAAGTGGTTAATATATTAGCTATTTCAATCAAAATCGTAGCTATAAAGCTGATTTGTCTTTGAACCATTTAACAATTTTTGCTGTTGGTAAGTGTCTTCAAGAACATATTAGAACTTTTATGTAAAGGGTACTTCAGAAAGGGTGGCAGAATATAGCCCAATAACACATACAAAATTTCATGTGATATTTCACTGTTAGTAATAAGTGCTTACCCAATTTTCATGTGGTTCATTTAAGTTCTTTTCCCTTTCTGAAGACGCCCTAACGAAATTATATACTACTTGCGTCCCATTTTATGTGTCTTAGTTTGACTTGGCACGATTATTAATGAAGTGTTTGGAAAAGTAAAAGTTGTGGTTGAGATTTGAGTATAATAAAGTGAAATGATGTAGATCGCATACTACGTATTACACAATTTTGCGCGTGAAATCAAAAGTTACGTGTTTGGTGAAAAAACTAGCTGATAAGTGTGATAAGCTGGAAAAAAAGGTTCCAAATGGGCTCTAGGTCATTTGTACATAGATGTAAATTATTTGAAACTGAAATTGAATACATTGTTTTTGTTTGAAAAAATTGTCTACACGTTGAATAGATTACTAGATTAGTCTCACACCCGATCCGACCCATCTCTGTCTATATACAATAGTGCTCCCGCTTGAAAAAAATTCTACATCATCTAGATGACTACTTCTCATAGCATATCCAAGAGACTATATATGAAGCCAAATTTATAAAAATAAAGAGTCATTAAATTCAAAGAGGGATTTTTTTGCTTCTTCCAACTCCGTTTATATTTTTCGTACTCAAAGAGGGTTGCAGTTGGTGATTCTGATCAAGAGTTCGAGTGTTGGAGTTTATTTTATTTTCTGCTTTAGGTTTTATTTCCAGGGTTTACTTTTATGTTTTGTTTTTATTTTTTTGTCAGCTTTGAAACATTTGCATTAGGTTTGGGGTTAGGAAGGCCTGCGGTAAGCGTCGTTTGCTCTAAATTGCCCAAATTAGATCTAGCGAGTTATATTGTTTTGTACTAGGTGGTTAGCTCAGAGTCTTGGTCAAGAGCGAATGATTACATGTGATGATTGTGATCCTTTCACATTCTTGTATCCTGCTGAATGCTATTCTAATAATATAAGCAACGTACGATAAAAAAAAACTAAAATATCATTGCATTTATGGTAATTTCAACCAAACACTCCCATATTTGTTTGTTTCTAATCTCTCAAAGAGCAGAAGAGAGGCAGATCCAAACACCCTTGGTCCTTGGACCATATCGGTACAGAGTAATTCAAATTTTAAAATTTCAATCAAAGTGAAAACATCAAAGTGAAAACATCTCTAATACTCCGTATTTTTTTTGAAAGTTAATACTCCGTATTTGACAATAAGAAAATTAAAATTAAAACAATACTGGGGCAAATGTTTAAAGAACAAGTATGCAATTCACCTTGAAGATAAACATGATCTAACAGTCTAACTACACTCATCCATGTACAAAAAAAAAACATAAGAGGTAAAGTGATCATTCAGTCTACAAAGAGGCTAAAGCATAACTTCTGCACACACAAAAATTAACCCACCACAAAAAATAAACAAATAAGAAATTAGTAACAAAGTTTTATATACGCTATACATCCCAGCCATCCTTCCGGCTGCCAAATTTGGATTTTCGGTTCGTTATGCTCCCGTAAATCTCAGAGAATTTACGGAGGCATTTGCTCCGAACATGATAGTGAGCTTGTGTGTTACCACTAATTGCAACACCTGAAAACTTTGACATGTCAACAGCCCATGCTGGTTTCACATACTCAACAGTGCTCGGAGAAGAAGAGCTCATGTTTGCATACAAGTAGTTCAAAAGCACATCCTCGCAATTAAAAAACGAGTCAACCATTTCCCGTCCTGGCAAAGCCTCCATGCTCCAATATCGTTTGAAAGCCATTTCAGCGTCAAGGAATGCTGCCCCGGTCAGTATCATGTTATACCCGTTGTGCTTCCGAGCATGTCTCTCTGCCCTGTATTCCAACGGGTCCCCATTCACTAGGCGAGGGTAGTACCCCACGATCCGCTCTGGATGCTGACGCCACACAAGAAAACCCCGCTCGACGTCGTCACATGTCATCATGATGTCATCATCAAGCTCAAGAATGGCTCGCGTCTTTATCAAGGGATCGGCTTTGAACCGGTTGTTCAATGAGTTCTTCTCCTCCACCCTTATCCTCACTGGCACTGCTGAATCGAAGTCTCCCACCAGTGGGGGCTTTCCCTTGTTCCACACAACGACGATTTCACGGACCGAAGCACATCTCGAGTAGTGTTTGATGTACATTTTCAAATTCCACATGCGGGCGTCGTATGTCATGGTCAGTAGAGTAAATTGAGAGTAGTGATCATTCATAGGGTACGGTTCTTGGGCACCACTGCCTCCATAGATGTGGGTGACGCCTAAACACGCCAAAGCAGCCGCGGTTAAGAATGTCAAGGCAAGAACCAAAACTCCTGTACATGTGCTTGGTTTTATTTTGGCACGTAGAAATGAGCCCAGTCGGATCAATTGGTAGAAAAAAAACCAAAATTTCATAGAGAATGGGTCCTTTGATTCTTCTTCACGGGTTAAAAAAGAATCACTCTTCTTTCCCATGTGTGAATGCCAAGTCAAAGGGACAACACACTTGACGGCCCCAAGTAAAACACCCAAGAATATGAGCATTACTGCAACACCGACAACAGAAGCAAAGCCGAGAGCAAACCGGTGGGTAGCGTCACCTGAATGCACACGATCCCCATCCAAAAAGGCAATCCACTCTCCCGAGCCCAGGCGTTTCACATCAAAGTGATGGCTGCGGGCCCCATTCCAGGCATTTATCCCCTTGATAGATTCTTGAATGCCAAATGGAACCTCAACTTCTTTGAACTCATGTGTTGTGAGATTTTCTATTTTGAATATGCGGACTGTCCTCCCGTACGTGTCACCACAGTCTTGACCAACACGGTATATGTTCCCATCATACATGAACGGTCTTCCTCCACTTCGGGCTCCCCTGCTTGGGTCTGTGTTGTAAATGGGGTTCTTTGTGTGGGGCCTCCAAGGGCCAAGAGGGGAGGTACTATACCATATCTCTAGTTGTCCGTTGTTTTGGGCCCCAATGCCACTATGATCTGAACCAAACAGCCAGTATTTCCCATCATGTGAGATTATAGAAGGATCTATGATGGGCTTTTTCATTACTACCTTCTCTTGCACCCACTTTGTGGGAAAATCTACAGCTCGGTACAGGTTAAGTTCTCCCTTATCACTACCCTCGGGCAACATATATATCTGCCAAGAGAATAAGTGAAAGAGGTTAGCAGCAGGAATGCATGGCATTATTTGAAGACAGACATGATAAAGAAAATAAAATACAGTGGATCATACATTAAGGGTATGTTTGGATGATGGAGAGTGCTAAGAGAAGTTGTGTTCTTATGCTTGGTTTGACATTGGAAACAGAGGAAAATGAATTACTATTAAAAAAAATCATATATTTAGATTTATGGGGGTTTTCATATACTAGAAATAAAACATAACTGGAACTACATGGTTATTACCACGTATTGAAGACAGGAAAAGTAAATCCTCTTCACAATGCAGTAGTGTATCCACTATGGCACTATCTAATACGAAGTATGTGCTATACTGCTTTGCTTGCCTTCCCCCACCCCACAATTTAAAAAATAAAAGAACTAATCATTCTTAATTGTTGCATGGGAAAAAATTCTGATAGCTAACTATGAGTCTAGGAGTCTTAAGTTAATGAAGGAACAAGTCTATGAAATTGAGATCTTACATTCCCATTGTATTCAAAGACATATGGATATGAGAGATGCCAATCCTCATCCAATGCAATGCCCAACTGTTCCCATGTCACTCCTTTATCAACACTTTTAGCAACTCCAATATCCCCTTGCATTGTGATGGGGTTCTTCGTTTCAAAAAACAGGTAAAGAGCGTCTTCCTGAAATCAAATGGGAAAAAGAATTTAAATTTCATAAGTTGAAATAATGGCCAAAGGACATGGAATACAAAATAACTTGTGTCGCACGTCAAATGTTTTCTATACATATGGGTTATGGCTAATATATGAGTATGGGGTAAACCTTATCTCTTGAGGATCCTTTTGAGTGAGTTAGGCCCAACATAACTTGGTATCAAAATTTGATCTAATTGGAGTCTGTTTGGTTTTTTGGCACACATTGCTTGGAATAGCCCGTGGGGGGTCAATTTAGTCCATTTATGCACCTCTCAAGTTGAGCCCGTTTCAACTTTATTTTTGCTGCAACATCAGTACAACTTTAGGTTGTTAGGTTCATTTACACCCCTAGAAAGTGTAAAGTAGGTTTCAAGCACCCAAACACTTTTCCCCATCTAAAGTCATAGTTCATCCAATTGTCTTCCATGACTCTGTTATACTATTTTTCAAACCTCAACTTCCTAAAAATATTGCAGATTGGCTTCTCATAATTTCATAGAACTTTCTAGCAGCTTGCAGTCTTGCTCTAAGTCACTAGAAGTACAAATCCATATTTCTCAAATTCTCATAAACAAAATTATCAAGCCAGAGCCAGTTGTAATATCTTTCATCAACTTGTATGATAAAGATTAAATACAGAATTATCTACTAATTAAATAATGGAGTACCATAAAGTAGATAAAAACTATTTTTTCCCATGGTGGGGCATCAAGCGGCTAGATTTTAGTATTTTATTTGAGAAGCCCCAAACGTCTTATCAAATGAGCACTAATAAAAACAAAATTAAAGCCAAAATTCAAGCATATAAGTCTAGGGCCCGTTTGGCAAGGGTTATATGGTTGAAATGGTGGGCTTTGCTGAATTTTCAGAAAATGGAAAAGTGTTTGGCAACATCCATTTCAGCAAAATAAATAAGTCAGTAGATACTACTTATTCTGCTAAAGTGACTACCAAAGAGTGCCCTGCTAAAGGATGTCATAGACCAATTCCCTGCAAATCCATATTGGTACCCAAAAAAAAAGACAAGCTTATCCAATTTCAAGCAAAAGAGGAATTAGCTACCTTAACATAAAGGAAAGGATCGGCAACGAAATTACTAGGAAACCCAGCCTGTGAAGCTGAAGCACAAGTTAGAACCGGATTGGCCACCGGCCAAGCTGCACTCTTGTCGCTATGTATATTCATCTGCAACCATTTCAAGATATAGACGTCAGAGAAGTAACTATAATGTCTATAACTCATAAAGATTTATCCAATTCTATGTTCCCAGAAAACAACCTTAAACCCAGACTTGTAATCTTACAAAGATCCAAACTTTAACCATGGGTACAACCCAAAATTTGAAAATCGCACCCCTGAACTTTCCTAAAATGTAACATTCATCCTCAAAACCCAGGTTTGTAATCTCACAGTGGTTCCTACTCAAAACTTTGAAAATCACGAACTTGAACTTTTCTTTCAATAAAAAAGTAACCCTTATAATTGTTAAGAATACAGAAGGAAAGAGTGAGAAAGAAGAAATCTCACGTCTTCGATGGGTTTTAGGGAGAAAGGAGAGTCGCCATAAAAAACACCAATTGCCCAAGAACCCTCATTGTCTTCACGGCAGCCCTTCACGGGCAGGTTTGTGTGGACATTAGGTGTCAGCATGAGCCGAGCATAGAAGCAACCAATGGAACCCAGCAACAGAAACGATACTAGGAAGAAAACCAAAGCAGCTGAAATGACGCCGAGATAGCTGTTACTGTTATTCCTGCCGTTGCTGCTATTTACGAAACTGCCTCTCCCGCCCCACCAGCCGCCATGGGCGTGGGAGGAGGCAGAAATTGCAATTGCGGTTGAGCGCATCTCTAATAAGGAAATCAAGCCAAGCTGTTGAAGGAGGGCGATGTTTTACCCTGAAAAGAATAACTCAAGAGTCAAGACAGGTGTGATCCATACACGAAGATAAACACCAGCACTATTATGTTCCTAAAAGACAGATTGTCTTGGACATACAATGGTTCTTGTGCAATGATTACGTTTTGGAATAGAATGGTGAGGAAGAGCGGTCGAAGACAACTAATGTTCAATTGTCAAGAAATGTGTAGACTTGATTTCGAGTGAGCTATAGGCGGCTACAATTTTTTATTGCAGTTAAATATATTTTGTAAATTCCCCATTTATCCATATTTCATCTTCTCTTATTATAGTATTATACTAGTGAGCTATTGGCGGTAACAGTTTTTTGTTGCAACAAAATATGTTTTCGTAAATTCCCCATTTATCCATATTTCATCTTCTCTCATCTATATATATATATGAAAAACTGGACCGCCTGGGATAACTGTTTCCGCCTGACAATGAGGACGTCAGTACGACATCTTCATGATGTCATCATGGGATGATATGACACGTGCTTACAGTTAATCTGCAGAATTCTGCTCTCCTCCGTAGGAAGGGAACACTGCCAGCATATTGCTTGGTCATTACATTACAGCTTATTACAACTCCTAAATTTAGAAAACTATTCACCATTTAAATGAAAGAACAGATAGAGAGCGAACCTCAACAACACCCTCTAACACTCTATTCACTGCTGATAAGATAAAATAAGATATGTAGGAACAAACCAAACAAGATGAGATAAAATAAGAACACAGATAGTAATAATCGACTAACCTGACTTATCTAACAATAATATGTATGTACACTTGAAATATTGAATTTTCACTTTATTTAAATATATATACCCCCACTAAGCACCCCAAACTTACACCAGCCCTCTATAGTATTTATTTCTCAATTCAGTGTACAAAAGCACGGCAAAGGAAGTGAAAATTCAATACTTCACGTGTATAGAGGGCTCAAGGGGGTCAAAATATATTCTATCTTATGGCTGTTGTGTCAAATTTGAGTCATTTCCGCGGTAAGTCAGTACTTGTTGATCAATCAATAAATCATTAACAATTAATCAGAACATCACCAATAATGATGACATCATGGAATAGGCATTTGCCACCACCAAACACCAATATGCCATTCCACTGCATGGCAATGTATGAATTCAGTTACAACCTAGTATAGTATTAAGTATCTAATTGTTTGACTGGCTTGTTTTGGAATTCATCGATTCAGAAAGGTGGCTTTTAGTGGTAGATAGGTGAGGGGATATCTTTATTCCAAGACAATCAGCAAACAAGCAAGTGTTTTAAAACTAATGATATCCAGCTTCTTCTATACATTGTCTATGTCCTCTTCCCCTTTAATTTGATTTCAGAAAAGAAATTGAAACCATTCTTTTTTTTGTATAAGAAATGCAATTCATACTGGAAATTATATGATTTCCCGGATTGACCTATCTTTTGTTTATTTCCTCGTCCAGTAAACAATCTATCTATAAAAATAAACAATAATAATAATAATAATAATAATAATGCAGTTCTCATTGCCAATTATCCTGCCAAAAGTAATTGAAAAAAGTACAGCTAACAAAGATATACTCCGTAAGAGGCATCGCTAGGACCAAGGGCAGGTGAGTTTTTTTGCAAATGTATTTGTCTATCCTTTTTATAATCTCTATATACATAAAAACTGGACTGCCTGGGATAACTGTTCCTGCCCTAAATGATGGGGTCACTATGGCATCATCATGATGTCATCACGGGATGATGTGACACGTGCTTACAGTTAATCTGCAGGATTTTGGCTCTCCTCCGTGGGAAGGCAACACGGCCAGCATATTGGTTGGTCATTAAATTACAGCTTATTACAACTCCTTAATTTTGAAAATTATTTGTCGTTTAAATGAAAGAACAGATAAAGAACGAACCTAACAACACCATCTAACTCTCTAAGCTTGATCTATTCACTGCTGATAAGATAAAATAAGATACGTAGGAACAAACTAAACAAGATGAGATAAAATAAGAAGACAGATAATAATAATCGGCTAACCTCGGGACATTACACGAACGGCCGGCGTGGTGTAGACTGCTTCCGACCTAAGGGGAAGAGGAGATGTCGACGGAGAGACCAATACAGCGTACGACCGTCCGGCTGTGAGAGATGAGCACATAGAGAAATGGTAGATCGAATGAACTGCACCTAAAGAACTTCCAACTTTCCTTTTTGTCCGTCCCAAAAAGAATTTCACTTTCCCTTTTTGGCAAAGAATTTGTGGTTAACAACATTTCTCTCTCCTCTGCACAACTCTCCACCACACAATTCCCACTTTCTTAATCAGCGTGCCACTTTATTTAGGAAGAACATTTAGGGACGGAGGTAGTAACATTAAAACTAGTTAAATATATTGAATTTATTGAAATTGATGATATTTTAGTTGAACTCGCAAACTTTACTAGTCTGTTGATTTGCGGAAATATTATATTTTCAATGTTTTTAATGATAAATAAAGAAAAGAATCTTAAGAAAATATCAATTCAATTACAAAATAACTAAAAATAATTTAAAATAATCTAAAATAACTAAAAATAATTTAAAATAATTGATAAGACTGATAAGTTAAAAATATTAGTTACCCAACATGTTCTTAATAACTTTAAGTTGGGAAGTAAATATTTGAATTAATAATAATATTTTACGATTAATATGTTTACATTTTCATGAATTAATCTAAAATTTAACCTACCTATAAAATTTTATATATTGTTCTAGCCACTATTTATTATTTTATATAAACGATATTTTATTAATCTTTAATTTGTAGTGTTCATTATAAGTATCACTCTCTTACCTTAACCGGTGTTTACAACAAAATGTTGTATTTGTTACACACACACAAAATGTTGTATTATAGTATCCATTTGTTTGTATTATAGTTCAGCTTTGTTCCTCTCGATCCAAAGGTCCAACACCTTTTCTTGGACTTCCGTATGATTTTAATGGGTTGGATATGTTTTAGTGAATTAGTTAACTGATTTGAGGGTGCAAATAATAGCAAGAGTAGGAATGATAAGTGTGCCAAGTTTTATTGAACTTGGAACAATTACAACACACCCTACCGAGCCTAGCGTCAAGCCTCTATTCAAAGCCGACATGAGTGAAGAAATAGAGAGAAAGGCTAAATTTATTAAATATATAAGTTGTCAACCCATAACAATGAAATAAATGCTTCTATTTATATTATCATGGGGTAAGTGGTGGTGGTGGTTGTGGTGTGACGAACCTTGAGTGGCGCATTATAAAATCTTCCATAAAATCTTCCATATCTAGTGCATTATATGTGCTTCCCATCAAAATCCTTGCTTTCTCGTCGATTATTCTGAGGCTGCCGCCAGGGGTGTATGTAATGTGGGGGTGGGGGGCAGCTGCCCCCACTGAAATTTCTGGGCAAAAATCGAAACGATGTCGTTTTAGTCGTTTATGTGCGTTTTGAGATTTAAAAAAAAATAGGTCTGGCGATAAGGCTAGAACCTTAGTCCTTACCCTCTGCGGTTGTTCTGCTCTTCAGAGTTCCCGTCTACAGACCGGTGAGGCGGCAAGGTGAAGAAGTATTTGCAGGCTTGCAGTCGTATCCTTCAGCTTTTCCGTAACTCCAATCGCCGCCCTCTATGTCGGTGTTGACCCTCAGCTTTCCTCGGTAATTGAACTCTTTTCCCTTTCTTTCATTACCGCACTCGCCACTCCCTTTTTGATTTTGTATATACATTATTAGTTATACTTCTTCAATTTAAACTTCTTTTACTTTTTACCCAAACAGGCAAACAACGTCAATGGCCAAGCTATCAGACCTGTGGGCTTTTGATTCTTGAATCTGTTACATCTTCATCAACGAGTTATTGGCCTCAATTTTCAATTCCCAAAGCTCAAGGTAAGACTCATGACTAAACTCTTGATTCTTGGATCTGTTATTTTCATCATTTATTTCACTTGATTGAGTTGCTTAGTTTCTCCTTAATTGCTTTTGTAGCTTGTGATTTTTTGATTTTTTGATTTTTATTTACTGATTTGGTAGCTGCTATGTGAAGGAATTAGTCAATTAGGTGTTTTTTGTTGAAGTAATTTTAGTGATTAAGAAATACGTAGTAGTATATTAATCAAATGACAATTTCTTAATTCACTGATTTAGTATTGACAAATAGTATATAAATCAATTGACAATTGCAAATAAACATTTAGAGATTGATAGATTGTTAATAATATTAATTTATTTGAACAATATGTGTAATTAATATTTCTAAATGAATTTATGAAATACATTTTATTTTTCAGTTATGGAAAAATCAGTCTTGGCAAGTTATTTTCCTTACAAAAGAAAGTCTACTTTAGAGGATTCATCTAATCAAAGCTCTGCGGAAGGTTCTATCCCACGTCCTCGTATTGAAGTAAATTTAGAAAATCTTGAAGTTGATCCCGGTAAAAGGAAGCATATGAATGAATATCATGTCAATGATAGAGATATTGTGCGACGGCGATATCTTCAAATGGGGCCTTTTCAACCTCAAAACATTGTCTTCCCCCCGAGAGTGATTACAGGCACCAAATGAAGGTTCAATCCTCAATGGTTTAAAGACCATAGTAATTGGTTGGAGTATAGCATATCCGAAGATGCAGCATATTGTTTATGTTGTTATCTATTCGATGATGACAGCACTGGACAACAAAGTGGAGGTGATTCCTTTGTGACAGAAGGATTCACTAATTGGAAAAAGGGGGCAGAAAGGTTGCGTGCTCATGTTGGAAATCATAAAAGTGTACATTTTAGAAATGTACAAGATTGTCGTAAATTAATGACTCAAGAGCAACATATAGAAGTATGTCTCTCTAGACAATCTTAGCAAATGAAGCAAGAATATCGTATTCAATTGACTGCATCTGTTGATTGTATACGATTTCTTCTACGGCAAGGCCTACCTCTGTGTGGACATGATGAAAGTCACAAGTCTATTAATCATGGGAATTTCATTGAACTCTTAAAGTTTCTTGCAAATCACAATGAACAAATCTCAAAAGTGGTGTTGCAGAGTGCACCTGAGAATCACCAAATGCTATCTCCACTAGTTCAAAAAGACATTGTCAATGCATTTGCAACTGAGACATCTAATCTCATACTCAAAGATCTTGGAAGTGAATTCTTTGGAATTCTTGTTGACGAGTCAAGAGATATCTCGGTGAAAGAGCAATTAATTGTCTTTATTCGCTATGTTGATACACGCGGCCATATAATTGAGAGGCTTCTTGGAGTTGTCCATGTTCTTGATACGACATCACTCTCACTTAAGTCAGCCATTGAGGCTCTTCTTACCCGACATGGGTTAAATATGTCAAGAATACGAGGTCAAGGTTATGACGGCGCTAGCAACATGCGAGGTGAATTCAATGGCCTTAAAACATTAATTCTAAATGATAATTCGAGCGCTTTCTATGTTCATTGTTTTGCTCATCAGCTCCAATTAACACTTCTGATGGTGGCAAAACAAAATGATGATGTCTCTTTATTCTTCTTTCATGTCTCCCAACTGTGTAATGTCGTGTGTGCTTCATGCAAGCGAAGAGATAAACTACGAGGCAAACAAGTTGAGCAATTGTTTGAATCAATCTCTTTGGGAACAATTGAAACCGGATCTGGTTTGAATCAAGAGGCAACTTTAAAGCGTCCCGGTGACACCCGGTGGGGTTCTCACTACAATGCACTTGTTAGCATTATGAAATTATTTTCTTCCGTTATTGATGCTCTTGAAGAGATAAAAGAAGATGCAAGTGACCCAAAGCATAAAGTGGAGGCATTCTCAATATTGAAAAACATCCAGTGCTTTGATTTTGTGTTCTACTTGCATATAACGAAAAAGGTGCTAGGAATTACTAATGATTTGTCACAGGCATTGCAAACGAAGGACCAGAACATAGTTAATGCCATGAGGCTCGTTGATGTCTCAAAACAAAGATTGACACTATTGAGAAATGAATGGGAGGAACTTTTAGAAGAAGTGTCATTCTTTTGTGACAAATTTGACATTGAAGTTCCTGATATGGATGCGGATTATGTGCCTCTTGGAAGATCACGACGTAGAGTCGAAGAGAGAGAAAATCTCCAAAGGTACCGTGCTGAGATATTTTATTTTATTTTAGATCTACAACTTCAAGAACTCAATGATCGTTTCAATGAACGAAATATCGAGCTCCCCTTGTGTGTCTCATCTTTTGATCTCCGAAATTCATTTGAGAAGTTCAATAAGGAGAAATTAGTGAGACTTGCATCATTTTATCCAAATGATTTCTCCGAGATTGAAATTGAAATTTTGGATAATCAGCTTCAGACTTATTTCATTGACGTGTCATCTGATTCTAAATTCTCTAAACTGACGGGTATTGATGAATTAGCTCAGAAGGTGGTTGATACAGGAAGGCATTTGGATTATACTGTGGTGTATTTTCTTCTGAAGTTGGTTTTGATCCTACCGGTTGCAACCGCTAGTGTTGAAAGAGCATTTTCAGCTATGAAGCTTATCAAGACATCCTTGCGTAATCGTATGAGTGATGATTTGTTGAATGATTTCTTGGTCACATACATTGAAAAAGAGATATTTGATCTTATTCCGAACGAGGCAATCTTACAACGATTCCAAAATATGTTGTAGTTTAATTTAAACCTTTTTTTTGCTCAAAACAGCTTATCAAATTAATGATATTATTTATATTTTGGTGCAAAAAATTATGTATATTTGCTTGTAATCCCGCCCCCGCTCAGTTGAATCTCTGGATACGCCACTGGCTGCTGGCTAAGAGTTTTCCAATGATGGCCAAGACGAACCATCCAAGGACCTTGTGTTGTGCAAGTTCTAGACTCACTTATTCGCATGGCTATTGGGCCAATCCTGTGTTGGGCTAATTACCCTATCAGAAGTCTCCCACTTCTGATGTCTTGTGTGTGCGCAGAACATAAAAAAGTAGAGAAGAAACATCCCTAAGTCGCACGGTCCTGACGCTTCAATGGCGACAGCTGTCATGACGGTTCCCGTGAGTGACGGTTACGATGGACGATTCAACTCCAAAGGATTTCGTGATGATCACCTAACTTTCCACCTTCGTGTGACACGTGTCCTAAGGTACGATTCTCGCCACATGTCAACGGTAAGTCCGTCATAATATGTTCGACAAACACCATGACCATGAATGCACACGTCCCAGAGCTGAAAACACATGAGATTTGGACATAGTTAAGTAACAATACAGTATCACATATACATGTCACTCACTTCTTCCATTGTTTCTCCCTAACAACTGGTATGTTATGTTACGTGTTCCATTATAATACTTAGCTGCAGGCCATGCATCTTCATCTTCATCTGTAGTGAACATGGGCTTCTCACTGCATGCCGAGAGTCCAGTAATGCAGACAAAATCCGCATATAAGTGAACTTCAGCAATCTCCCTCCCATGTTGAACCATAACTCATCTTGCGGCTGGTTCCGCACCCGGCATAACAACAGCATGTGAATTAATTGCGCAATGAATTGTATCTATGGGGCTTTAAGTAAATGGCCCCATGGTATTTTACATAACATTACCATTTGGTTCAAAGATAGGCTTTCACTAATTGTGTTCACCGCATCCTTAGAGGACGAGCACAGTGAATACTATGCAGGGAAATTGCTGATCAGGAGGAATTTGCAATTCAAGCGCTCTCCAGTGACATTTTTATACAATTAAAGAATCTCTCATAGCTCACAAACAGTAAACAACATATATGAGGGTATAGAGACAACATTCATACTACGCACATACAATTCAACCATCTCTCATATGTCACAAACAATAAACAACATATAGGATGGTACACATAAAACATTTTATACTATGCACAGATAATTCAATTAGCTCTCATGTCTCACAAACAATAAGCAACACATAGGGGCGGATCTAGCATTTGCATTCAGGTGGGGCCAAAATTAATGAAACAACGTATATTGCGAAAAAAGGTTAAAATGTAGTAAAATAACATATGTTACAGCATAAATGTTTAAAAAATACAGGAATAATATTTTTTTTTGTCAAAATCTAATACAAAAATAGCTCAAACTCATAAACATGGAACTAACATTCAGTTACCAGCCCAATGAGTTGAATTGATAGTTTTCTCATGCTAATATTCAAAAGTCCATAGCATTCACAGTATTAGTTTTAAGCCTATTCAATAATTTTAGATTGGTTTTATATAAAACAAACAATTTTAGATTGGTGTTTGGTTTGTTGTAATTTATCCTAAGAGATAAATTTTGGGAAAGAAAACATAAATAAAACACCTCTACCCACTGAAAATTTTAAAAAATTTGCTCCCCTTTGGAATCAAACTCATGACCTTTTCATTCCACCCACGCATTACTTCCATCTAGCCAATAAGATTTTTGTTCACTTCTCGACTTTCCTCTTTATTATACCTCTTCTACACAACACTATATATATTATTGTATGTATACACTAATTTTTTTAAGGTAGGCCTTGGCTCTCCCTCACCTTATACATAGACAACATTTATACTACACACAGACAATTCAATAACCTCTCATGTTTCAAAGACAACAACAAACTGTAAACAACAGACAAATACTTATTAAGTCTCAACGTGTCACAGACAAAACACTTCATACGTAACGACACATATGTATATACATTTTCATTTTAATTACAAGCCATTTTGTATCCTTCCCGGAAACAACTACAAATCAACTTTCACATACCAACAAAATTCATGGGTAACCTACACAAGCCCATATGTTTTGTAAATGGAACGAAGTCGCAAACAACTCAATTGAAGCCACATTACCACACAAAACACTACATTTTGAATACACAACAAATTTTTCGTTTCCTAGACCATTTTATTCTTTAAACACATTTAACCCTAACCTAACCAATAAACTAACATTATTGGACGAAAAACACGAGAATACAAAACATTATTACAATCACCTATAAATAAATTTAAAGTACAAACAAAAAAACCAGGCTTACCATTTGTTCACTTCGAAAAGTTTTGTGCGCATCATTTTCGTGTCCTGAAAATGTCGCCAAGCCTCACAAAGAGTTCACCACCTTCGACAGTCGCGACCTCAGCCACCGTTCATTGTGTTTCAACCATGGACAACGACTGGACTGCTCCGGTAATCGAGCACAGATGAATGATGGAAAAACGAAGGTGAACGTGAGTGGGGAAGCAGGAAAGTGAAGAGGAAGATGAGGGTGGATGAATGACGACATATGGTTTTTGAAAATAAAATCGGTCATGGAGATGAGTGAAGAGGGAGACAATGGTGAGTGGGGCAATGAGAAAGCAGGTTGGAGAGAGGGCAAGATGTTTTTGAGAGCTAAAATGTCGTGTAAGAGTTAGTGGGAGGTGTGGGTAAAAAAAATTTAACCAGCTGTATAGATTATACTTCCTTCGTTCCCTAAACCTTTGTCATGTTTGACCGGCGCATGGACTAATAAAGTAAATATTGTTTTGTTGATTTGTGCACAAGAAAGAAAATTAGCTGAAACGTCAAATTCTCACCCAAATTATCAGATTGGTAAAAAAAGAGGGTCATTGAACAAATTGGTAAAAAAACCACTTGAGTCATATTAGTAAAAAAGACACTAGTGACAAATTGGTACGAGTATAGAATTATACAAGTAGCTAACAATTTTGTTATATTGGTAAAAAAAGACACTAGTGACAAATTGGTACGAGTATACAATTATACTCCCTCCGTCCCTCAATTAATTTCTTACTTTGACCCTCACACACATTTAGTAAATAAATTTGACTTTACTGTATAGTACACTGTTTTGACAATGTTTGACACTGTTTTGATGTAGGATAATTTTCCATTTAGAGAAATGAGAAGATGATTTTGAGACGTTCCAAAAAGGAAAGCAGCAAGTTAATAGCGGGACGGAGGGAGTACTACTTAACACTAGTATACAATTTTACAAAAAAAACAAGTTGAGCCACATTGGTAAAAAAAAGACACTAGCTAACAAATGTTATACGGAGGACGAGTATACAATTATACAGTACTACTGCTACGCATTCTGAATTCTCGAACAGTCGCCAAGTAAATCAGTGGGAGTTTCACAAAACCAGGAAAAAGGTCAACCACTAAACACTGGAAAAAGGTGCAAGTGATTGAATCATGGATCCCAATTTCCAGACCACCGTCCGTAGTCGTAGCTTGCGTAGCTTCGTGACGAGAGAGCGCCTCTTTTCCGCCTCCTCCAATATATATAAGCCCACTGCCCGCCGTTGCTTTGTCCGAACGAATTCCGCCTAGCTTCTTTTATCAGATTGAGTGCAAACTAGTTTTTGATCGGAGTTCACAATTTCGTCAGTGAATGGCGGCGAAGGGGAAGCACGTCCGGTGGCAGCTGAGGAGAACGTCTCCGTCCTGGCCGACGATCTTTACCGCCCTGATAATGGTTGCGTTTTTCGTTTTAATTCTCATCACTTTGAGAATTCTCTCGACTTCCGGAGATTCTCAGGAAGCTCTCAATCTCAGATCAATCGCGCGCAACATCTTGGAAAGGTAGGTACTTCCGTCTATTGGTATGATCGCTCGATTTACTGAAATACGAAGCTGATGTGGTTGTTTTTATTTGAAATTGTGTGATCCAGAGACGTTAACAGTGAAAGAGGAGATCAATGGGTTGAAGTGATATCCTGGGAGCCTAGGGCCTTTATCTATCACAATTTCTTGGTATATGCGGAGTATTTTTTTCTTATAAATTTTCTTCTTTTGACCTTATTTGTTTGATGTATTTATGTTTCTCTTTGAAAATGATTGGTATGGAAGCTGTATCTTCAGAAATTCGGTCTTCTCTCTAACCCCTGACCCAATCCCATCCCTACAGGCCTGAACCCAATTTCATATGCAAATCATTGTTTTTCATAAAAGATTAAAAAGTTCACCCAAGAGTAAACACAACCACCTTAATAAGCACAAATTGGACAAGAAGACTATCAGTTTCTAAAATATGTTGACCCATCTCGATAGATACACCTTTTAATCTGACCTGTAGCCTGAATAATTTTATAGCACTCCATCTGTTAACCAATCTGGAAAGACACCCCTTTTGCTCTGACCTGCTGAATTAATATATAGTACTCCATCTGTTTCATATTAGGCACCGTCTTGGTTAAGAAATTTTTTTCCATGATGATGCCATTTATAAAATAAGGAAAGATTTTATTACCATTTTTTTTTACCTATCTTCTCTATCTTAAATATCATTTAAAGTAACTTATAGTATGACAAGAAGCTGAATTGCTAAGGATGTGTTTGGTTCAAGGTAGGAGATTGGAGTGATTTTGTGTTGCTTTGTTAGGGGGTTGTGGGTGGGGGAGAGAAGAGGTTATTAATGCGTTTTGCGCCCCCCATAATACCTTAGTTTGTAGGGAGAGGAAAATAAGCGCAGGTGAGGAAGAACTCTATGGCTTGATTGGCTTATCCCCCTTGAAAATTTCTTAACTAAATGAGAAGAGGTTGAGCAATTTCCCTAGCTCCTTTCCTCACTCATACCTCCAAACTAAAAATACCTCCACCCAGTTTGGAACTGGGAGAACATAAATCTAATTTTTTACATATGGGTGGTGGTGTGGTATATGTAACATGTAGAAGATGGATGGTTGCAAATCATGTTCCCTTCACCCAGTCATCCATAAATTGTATGTTATATCGTTATGCATAAAACAAAAAAAATGTGTTTTTTTCCACCGCATATATCATACTCAGTACATCATTTACAAAATAGTTAAAGTTGTGTTGTTGACCTCCCCACAAATCGTATGTTTCATTCGTAAAGTAGTCAAAATTGTATCCTTGATATCTTGCTCGGCACATTTAGTTTTTTCTTTTGATTTCGTTTAATTATTCCACAACGTTTTGGGTGGGTACCTTTAGTTCACTACATACCGTAAAAGTCATGAGAATTATTGTTACTGTGTAAAGTGAAATTGATAGCAGCTTCACGCCTTCCAGAAACAGACAATACATTTGCTTATTGCTCCGTGCATGGTTTACCGATAGTGAGTATTTGAGAGTTAAGATGGCTAACCAGGCTTTGGATCCACCGGGTATAAAGAAGAGCAGAATTTATATTGCCTCATAGAGTGAGTGACATTTGCAAGTGTGCTGTGCTGTTTTGGAGGATTGGACTAGGGTAAGTGCTGCACGCTTGCATTAATAAGATAAGATAACTGAGAATGACCTTGAACTCAAGTCTGGTCAATATTTTGCAAATTACAGATGTGCTGAACGAAAAATTCAAAGGAAGTATTTCAAACAATGCCTCTATAGTGTAACTTCCAGACCTAAGAAAACATTACGAAAGCATCCACAGAAATTTTGGTCTGAGATAAGAGGGGATGCAAAGGTAGGACGATTACTTAAGGAAAGGGAAAGGTCTAGTCATATGTTGTTTTTTACTCTGATATTATGTTTCTTTAGTGTTTGAACTGTCATATAAAGTGTTAGACAAGGGCATGGTGAACATGGAAGTAATTTCCTTCATACATTTGGATGAGAATTGACGGCTATAAATTGCTACATTTGGACAAGTAGAAAAGGTTAATTCGTAAAGCTATGAAAAGGGCAAAGGGGGATAAGGAGTTATTGCAGAAGTTGATGACTTTAGTGGTTTGTCTAGCAAGTTCCTCTACATTTTTCAGAAGATGAGTTTGAAAATACAATAGGATCTTTAGTTACATTTTTCAGAAGATGAGTTTGAAAGTACATTTTTCAGAAGATGAGTTTGAAAATACAATTTTCAGATGATGAGTTTGAAGATGGGTGTAAGTTTATGTACATCCGGATTTCATTTCTAATGCTTAATCTATTGAATGCTTCCTCAGCTTGTCTTTTAAAGAAAACAGATTTTTAACATGTTTCCTTTCTCAGTCAAAGGATGAATGCGAATATCTAATTAATCTTGCAAAGCCCCATATGGAAAAATCAACAGTTGTTGACAATGAAACTGGTAAGAGCAAAGACAGCAGGTGAGCATATATTTTACTTTTGCACATGCACGTATCGTTAATCTTCACTTAGGGTAGAATATTCACCATATTTTTGGCCCAACTCTCTCAGGGTGCGTACAAGCTCAGGAACTTTTCTTGCTAGAGAAGGTAACCAAGTAATCAGTAACATTGAACAAAGAATTGCAGATTTCACCTTCATACCTGTAGGTAAGCAGTTCAGCAGCAACAACAAAATTATTTGATTTTGAATATTCTATGTTTTGGGACCGGAGAGTATTTGAAATCACTGTTGGATTCTGTTTTATACGAATTATAAAGTTACTTGGCTAATCCTGAACCTTATTTGAAGAGTAATTCTGAATCAAACTCAGTGTCATAGAGTTGAACTAATATGATGCATGATAGCTTATAGATGCCTTAATGAGCAAGCGTCAAAACTACTATAGGGTATGGATATGCATATATTGTATCTTTCCAAGTCTTGTGTCTCATTGCTGTTAAGCTAATGTTTGAAATTTATAGAAAAGTATTTCCCGTGCTTGCGCAGAGAATGGTGAAGGCCTTCAAGTTCTCCACTATGAAGTGGGCCAGAAGTATGAGCCACACTATGATTACTTCGCTGATGAGTTTAATACCAAGAACGGGGGCCAACGAGTTGCTACCCTTCTCATGTACCTGTAAGGAAATTTTCTTGCATGATACTCTGTTTAATCTCCTTTAGGATTAAGGCTTGGATGTTGTTATTGTTGATACCCCGTTTAATAATATTTGTGTACTAATTTTGGAACTCTGATTGTGGGGAAATGAAAATGTTTTTCATGCCTAGTTTGGGAATGAAAAATACGAAGAACAAATTTGATTAAAAAAATTTCAGATGTTTAGATTGTTTAGCTTTTATATACTACGAAGTACGAAGTATAAAATAGAAGGAAAATGGTCAAATAAGCCCATATACTATTTGCTACCCTTCACTTAAGCCCCTATACTAAAAATGTACTAAAAAGTATCACATAAGTACACCTACTTTACAAAATTGATCGATTTGACCATTTAATTAGTTGTTGACCTGTAATAGCAAGTTTTAATATCAGGTTTTAATATTTCAAAATTCTAAAAAATTGTAAAATTTTGAAAAAATATATACAAAAATTGTGAAAATTTTCAGAATATCAAAGTCAATACCTATAAAGTTTTAAAATTATTTGTATATTGTACATCTATTTTTTTGCATTTTTATTTTTTTTCAGTTTTCTGATTTTTTTTATGCTCTTAAAATTTTATCTATTTTTACATTTATACTATTTTTTATATTATTATTAGATTGTTTATTCAAATCTGTATGGATTTTTGTAAGATTTATAAGTATTCCTGATTTAATTTTTAAAAAATAAATTGCTATAGCAGGTCAAATGGCTTGATCGTATTTTAAAAGTAAGTGTACTTATATGATTTCTTTTTAAGTAGAATGGCTTAAGTGATGGATTGGAAATAGTAGGAGGGTGTATTTGACCTTTTTTCTTAAATAGAATGAATTTGAATAAATTTTTAAAACTGGTTTATGTTTCAATTCATGTGATGTGACTAAGTGATACTGTTGGTCTTCACGTGTTTGCCACAACACTCTCTTCCTTTATCCTGGCTTGGGACAAGCCTTATTCCAAAAAATGACATTGGTTTGGAGAGCAAAGCAGAGAGAGAAAATTAATGTGGAGGATATATCTTCTTTATCTTTCATATGTTTGTTCTTTATCCTTTTATCTTATTTTTGTCCTTTTAATCTTATCATTTTATGCGTATCTTATTTCTATCTTATCCTTTTCATCTTATTTTCTTATCTTATCTTATTTATTTTTCTTATCTTTTATCTTTTTAGTACCGATTCATTTGTTAATCCCAAACTCTTTTAGGATTAAGACTTCGATGTTGATGTTATTTAAAACTGATTTATGGAGCTTGAAGCAACTGTTTATCTTCTCTCTCATTTTCCGTCATTCTAAATTTCATATCTATTTCTTCTTATTTCTACTTTCATATTTTTTCGCATTTTCCAAGTTTCAAGCAGTTCCTAAAATCTACATCATATGTTCTACTGTTTTACTCTTGATCCTTCTTGCAATTTAGATCTGATGTTGAAGAAGGAGGAGAGACGTTATTCCCTGCTGCAGGGGGGAATTTCAGTGCCATTCCGTGGTGGAATGAACTATCTGAATGTGGAAAGCGTGGACTTTCTGTTAAACCAAAGATGGGTGACGCATTGCTTTTCTGGAGCATGAAACCAGATGGAAACCCAGACCAATCGAGTTTGCATGGTCGGTAACTGTACTTTTGAGCCCATGTTTGGTTGGGTTCTGAGGGGATGCAAGGGAATGAGAGATATAAATTTAGTACTCCGTAGTATATGACTCCGTATTACATTTGGATAATTAAAGACATACTCAGTAATTAGTTATATAGTCTACAATTAACAAATATGGATACATTTGTATAAACCAAAAAATTATCCTCCAATGCTATCCTCTTAAATTTGTTAGAATCCCTCAACCAAATATACCCTTAAAGTGAGAAGCATGGTGTGCTATAGTAATATAGGGCTATGGGAATGGTGCTTTTATCTAGTATGCACTGATAATGTGAAGTTAAATTAAACTTGACCGAATCAACTGATAAGTGATAACATTTATCATTTGTTTTTGGCAGGTTCTTGCCCTGTCATAAAGGGAAACAAATGGTCAAGTACAAAATGGATGCGTTTTAACGAATATGAAGTTTAAGCTGCTCTGTTAATGGTAATTTCTTTGTGTGGATTTTACTGCATGAGCCTCTCCAATTGCTGTTCTGAACCTGCGTTACAACTTATCATGTTCAGTATGAAGCTGGCCTAAAAGTATAATGCCGTTTTACATTGTGTCAGGTTGGGAAGTAAATTTTGGTCGAGATATGCTGATCAATGACCTATACACGTCTATAGTTGTAATGGGAACAGACACTGATACAGATATATATTACTAGGACTAAGATATACTAGGAATATGTTACCAACTGAATCCTTTCATGTAATTTATTCTAAATAATAAATCTACACAGTACAGATTATAGTTGAAAACATACCATTTGTCAATACTTTGATAAGGTTCACACTGTTCAGTGGTCACTTTCTCTCCTAGTGGTGGAAGACAGGGGGCAGGGGGCTGGAGGGGGACTTGGCCTCCCTAGAAAAAATTGGGTATATACACTGGTTATAAATATTTATAACCAGTGAAATTTAAAGTTTTGGTCTCCTATATATAAATTTTTTAAACTCCGCCCCCTAATATAGTAATATATGATATGTCTAGCACTCTGGCTTCCACACTCCCGCTAATCAATTGCAGTTTCAACCAAACATTATGTAATTAAAAGAAGAGAAATTTGCAGCTCATAGGACCAAATCATAGCTCCTTTCCAAAATTAGGACCTCCTTGTTTTATTTCCAGCGGTGGGCTTTATTTGGTTTTGTATTAGGAAGCTTGTTTTTAACTTTCCCTTTTTACCCTCAAATAAACCAAATTCCTCTGCCCCATTCTCAGAAGGAAAACGTCGCCGAATTTCTTAGCGTAGAGGTTCCGGTGGTTCAAGTCATTGCCGACTTCGAGCTAGTTCCCGAACAACGGCACGGGGATCGGGCCCGGTGGGAGCTTGAACTTTTTGCCGCGAAGCTTAGAGACAACTACAACCACTACGATGGTGAAGAAGAGGCCCAGGAGAGCCTTCTCTATGAGGAGAAGATCCATCTTGAACCAGAGATTTGCAATCTATGAGGGGTCTTCCTCTATTTTTGTTTGTTTCCGAAATCAAAATCTCATCTAAATCGATCTGCAATCATTTTCACTGGAAACATCGAACTATCTGTTTCCTGCTCTGCAATCAAATTATTGTTTTCAGAATTTATCGTTTATTTATTGTCTACTTATTGTCTATTTATTGTTTATTTAATGTCTGTTATTTTCTAAAAGTAAGGGTATTGTGGTCAATGCAGGTGTAGTTGAGTCTTACGCTAATCTTCCGTCTTAGTTTTGGAAAATTAGTACGATTTGCTCCTATTTGTAAAATTTTCCCTTAAAAGAAGTAGCTTTATGCCCCTCAGAATCGTGACTCGTGAGATAATGGCACGTAAAGTTTAATTTAAACACATAAGCAAAAAGGAAGAACAAAAACAAACAAATTGTTTTATATGTACACAATCTTTACATGTATGTGCTCTATGAGACGCCAAACCCTTGTATTGCATGATAAACTCAATAACTTGATGGACTTGATACAATATTTAAAAAAACAATTCTGATATGTAACCACAGTTTTTTACGCATCAATATAAGTTCTTCCAAAAGAGGAGGGGGGCCTTGGAATTCATAGTGCCAAGGTTTGGAACCATGCTCTCCTCTCTCGTACACTTTGGGATGTTCATAGGAAAAAGGACACCCTTTGGGTGAGGTGGGTCAATGGGGTTTACCTTAAGGGTAGGAGCGTGTGGGATTTTACCCCACACAACCGTGACTTGATGTTCATGAAGAAATTGAGTCACATCCGGGACCAAATTTTGGGTTGCTTTAAAAATTTGAATGATACCATTATGGGCCTAAATTCTAGATCCATTAATGGTAAACTCCTTTCCGGAAAGATTTATGAGTTGTTGAGAACTAAAAGGACGCCAAGAGTATGGATGAGCTTCATATGGAAGTCTTATATCCCCCCAAGTTCTCATTCAACGTTTGGCTTGCTTTGAGGAACCGGTTACCTACACAGGATAACTTAGGTTACCTACATATTGTTAATCGTTGTGACCTTTGCAAGGGTGGATTGGAAACAATTCCACACCTATTTTTTCGTTGTCATTACACTTGTAGGGTCTGGGAAAAAATAAAGGAATGGTTAGGCATGACACGAGAGATGACCACACTTAGCAGCTCGATCAAATGGATCCTGAAGGAACACAATGGATCAAAGATCAAAGGGAAGGTTGTCCGGATTGCTTTTTGCGCCGCGGTTTACTACCTTTGGCACGCTAGGAATGCCAATCGATTTGATGAACAGGACGTCAAGGAAGAGGAGATCATCTCAAAAGTCAAGCATGTGGTGTATAAAATACTTTTCAATTTATACCCGCATGACTTGATTACATTTTGAGTAGACTGTGGCATGAAGCATGGCCTTGGATTTAAGGGTGTGTGCATTTTGCAACACCTTTGTACTATGTTTAGAATTTTAGTCTCTGAACTGTGTGCGTGCATGTGCTGCACCGATGTATGTTTGAACCTTTTGATGGGCCAAGTATAATACTTGATTATTTTGGCATAGATTAGATCGAATAAAAACCTCCTTTCACCCTCATATTATGTAAGGGTCGGGGAGGTTTTAGAAGATCTAGGATATGTGATGTATAGTTTTCTGGGTGTTAATATATATATATATATTTACATTTCATTCAAAAAAAAATATAAGTTCTTCCAAATACATAAAATGAAAGGAACTTTCACGTCTTGAAATACAAGTAACGTTTTTTGGGTTATTTTTAAATAGCTCCCTTGAGGTTTGGGTATTTGACACTTTAAGAAGAAGTATCAATATATTATTGATTAGCCCCTTCTCCCTAATACTTAAATACAGTACATGAGTAGGTTAAAGCCATTTCTATGTATTCGTCATTTAATCATTTCACTTTTTGATAAATCAAATTTTGTAACATCTTATGTTTTAATATTTTATTACTACGTGTTTTTCTCTATTTCGTCAATTATACATTTTCTTTTTGTGCCTAACAAAAGTATATGTATACTTGTAGTGGAAATATTTACATATATGTGATTGAAATTAATACTCCCCCCGTCCCATAAAATGGTTCCCGAATTGATTTGGATCGGGGTTTAAAAAAGTGGTAATAAAGTGAAAATGTATGGTTGTGGTTGAGTAAGAAAAAGGTAAATGAATGATAGCCACAAAAATAGCGTTCCAAAAAGGGAAATGGGAACTTTGTTTTGGGACGGCCCAAAACGGAAACCGGGAACTATTTTGCGATACAGAGGGAGTATTGTTTACAAAAAACTTTGACTATACCTAGTGTAGTGAATATAGAGTTACTTAGGTCACAATGTCATATTATGACCTTCTTAAGTGTATAGTGACTATAATAGTAACATAGTTATAGTCATATATGTTTGATTTTTATACTTAAGTGACTGTGAGATGAAATTATAGTAATGATTAGTTACGTAGTATTTTTTGTAAATATGGTTCATTTCAGTAATATTTTTCAAAAGAACTCAGCTCATTGATGGTATAGTTTTAGAAAATACGAGTATATGTATATGTATAAGTAGGGTAGGTCAGTGCAAAGTGGACCCACCCCAAATGTCTCAGGCTAGTGCAGGTCTTCGTGGGCCGGAATTTTTATAGGTCTAGACGTATTTATGGGGTATTTTAGGCTCCGGCCCATTTCCAATTTAAAAATTGCATCCATTCACCGTTTAAAAAATTTCGTAAAAATATTTCAAAGTTTTGTTTGTGCCACCCTATCTCTCTCGAGACTGCATACTTGGCTATCTACATGCATGCACCAGGCCATCTTAAAATTTAAATATGGACTTTGTCGATATGAAAAAATAATGTATAGACTCTGTCAACACCATTTTCCCTACATTCAAATACCATTTATAAAGTACACTCAACATGTTTCTTATAAACTCCCCTCATCCCAATATAAAAGGCACATTTTCCTTTTTGGGCTGTCCCAATATAAAAGGCACATTTCCCTTTTTGGCAAACAAAACAGTGCATAACAGTGCCAAACAGTGTCAAAAAGTGTTTACACGGTGTCTAAACAGTGTCAATCAGTGTTCCTCCTTAGAATGTTTGAAAAAGCAAATGTGTTCTTTATATTGGGACGGATGGAGTATTAGTCTAGTAAAACGATAGTTAAGTTATTCTAAGTGATTTTGTTCTTTTATTTTTTTCTGAACTATTATGTAATTAGAAAATACAAATTTCGATGTGAAAAAATAAAAAAATCATTAACTTTTGTTTTATTTTTTGGTTAATAAAACAAAATAAGTTGAGGTAAATTTCTACTATTTATGGAAGAGCCATGTATTAAAATTTTGAATTTCATATTTTCCGAGTCTAAAAAACTCTAATAGTTGAATCTTCAAAAAATTTAGTAACTTTATATGATAGTATATACATATTAATGTGATATGAAATATTATAAAAATTATGTAGTACTCCCTATAAGTTTTAATATAATACTCCTTTGTATGAAAATGAAATGGATTTGCTGCAGTACTATTATTATAAGAGACTGATGTGTCTATTTTTCCTTGTCTTAGTTTTAAAAAAAATCGTAGTCTTGGTTAAGTAGGGGTGACCCCTTCTGCCATACATGTATTTTATAGTAAAGGGGCTTATCAATAATATATTCATACTTTGACTAAAAGTGTCAAATGCCTAAACCTCAAGGGAGGTATTTGAAAATAACCCAACGTTTTTTTGATAAAGCTCATGTTGCAACTTTTCTAAGATTGTCAGAAAGGGAAAGTTGGCTGAAAGTTTGGCTGAATCTTTTTATGTAGAGCCGCTGCAAGTTTTGCTGAATTCTAGTACGTAGTACTTCATCATGGAAGTAAAAATTAAATTTCATAAACTTACACACATATATAATCTGAAACAAGCGAATGCTAAATTTAAACTTACACTCGAGAGTGGTAATAGGCATCAGTGCCTGGAGGCTGGAGGACTCTACTCTCCAGAGCATATAAGATGAAAGAATTGACCTTTTTCTATATTTGACATGATCGAATTTTCAATATGTAACAGGGCAACCATAAGGAACCTATAAGTTTGAATTGCAATCAAATTTAGTTTGCTAATCTGCACTCCCAAAAAAGTATTTTGGAAAAATTCACAAGAATAATCCAATGAGGATTCCCCTGTAATAATAATCTCCTAACTTCGAAGGAGAAAGCCAATAGGTGGATAACTACTGTTTTCTTTTCTCAAATTTCTTTCCTATGTATTCTACAAATATTTCTCCCTCATTTATTCTATAATTGCATATACAGTTTGGTTTGAGAGTAGTCGTATACTCGT